CTGCTTCCCTGAGCTTTCCCTCTGGTTTCAGCCTTCTGACCAGCTTCCTTCAGGCTGTGCCTGCCCAGACCCCCTGCCCCACTGCTAAACTGACTCTCTTGCTCATCTCCTATTTCTACCGCTTTTCCTGAATCCAACCTTCCTGTATTGCAATAGTGGGAGCACTGGTTTTGCAACCTACAGTGGTGTAATTTAACAATTTGGCATAGGTGATTGGGATTAGCTATCTTCAACCTTCTTGAATTTTATCTTTCCAAAGTGCTAGATGAATAGTGTTTTGGGTGGGCCAAGCTGCTAACGGGTATTTCTTAAGATGTGAACTAAGCAACGTGGGTCTCTATTTCCTGCATCAAGCTTCTTACTGCTGTTTGTTAGGAGATGCAATGATTTAAAGAGAGCAAAGAAATGTCAAGATATGTCTAGTCAAGAGCATATTTTACAAGCAAAGTTAGAGAAAACTTAGTACAGGGATGTGTGTGTTCAGTTGTATTTTTTATGTTGTGTCTGCTACTGGAGAATTTCTAAATGGTAGAATTTAAGAGACCCTCTTCATGAAGGGAAAGATTTTTTTTTATGTAAAACAAATCCCTTGTAAATGGAACCCTGAATTAATAGATTTGTATTAGTTACCTCACATATTATGTTTATTGAAGAAAATCTGGATATTTAAAGAAAAACTGTTTCTTCAGGTTGTAAGAAGAAAACTATTAATAGGCCATAAATTGTACTCACATTTCAATATCTCAGTAAAAAAACCTGGCAGCAGGTCTGCAAGTTTGTATCTTGCCACAGAAATTAGAACTTGTTGTTAAAATCTTCCAGGGCAGTGCTTGCGCTGGCATTGTTTTTTTGTTACTGTGACTTTCTATTTTTTATTATTGTTTTATTTTATCAGTTGTTCCTCTTCCCTTTTCCATCATGTTCCTTTTACAATAAGTCTGTGGATCATCGAAGGAAAATCTGAAAGTACGGTGAGGTGAGGGGATCTGTCTTCAGTATTACCCATGTAAATATGGAGGAGGCAGAAACAGAGTACAACAGTCATGAGTTCAAGCTAACTTCATATTCCTTTTGGCCAAGCAGCATGTACACAGCAGGTTGGCCATAGCAGGTGGGGCAGATCATACTAGAACAGGTTTTAAAACTGCCTTTCCATCTATACTATTAGGCCATATCCAAAATGGACAAATTAACTCCTTTAAGCTTGTAATCGGCCTTGAGCTATGTCTGGGAATCCAATACCCCCAACCTTGAAGAAAAACAGATCAGAATTTCACAAACAGGTCTCAGTGGTGTATTTTGCGTCAGAGGTGGACTGATAAAGCATATAATATTCTTCAAAGTGTGCATCAATTTGAAAAAAATGCCAAGTCAGCACAAATGTGCCTTTGTAAATTTTCTTTTCACTGGCACTCAAGAAATCAAGTTTGGTCAGCACAGAAATTTATAAAAGTTGCAATTGTATGCCCAAATACTTGCAAAAAATGCACATGTAATTATTTGCTGTATTCTTTCCAGACATAGAATTTGTGCATTGCATTGGTCTAGTTAGTGGCCCTTAACAAAGAGGACCTGAGTACTGAACACTTAGATAATATACTTGCATTAAAAATTAGAAATAAAGAAAAAGAATCTAAAGTAAGAGAAACATTTTACACTAAATACCTACTCTAAAAAAGTAATTGATTCATTGTATTTTATAGCAGTAGAGAACATTAAGTTGATTCAAATACCCTGAACAAACTTTTTTTTTCTCAGCCCTTGCAAGTACAGTTAGACTTTTAGTCTAAAGTCAATAAATGGCTTGATGGAAGTAACTCTAACATTAGGGCAAGTAACTAAAATATTAAATGACTCTTTCAGGCTACTTAATTCTTCATATACAGGAAGGAAATGACAGCAGCTTTATTTTTGCTATGTTCCTGGCCCATAGGGATGACTCTAGATGTTCACAGTTTGGTCTAGTTAGTGGCCCTTAACAAAGAGGACCTGAGTACTGAACACTTAGATAATATACTTGCATTAAAAATTAGAAATAAAGAAAAAGAATCTAAAGTAAGAGAAACATTTTACACTAAATACCTACTCTAAAAAAGTAATTGATTCATTGTATTTTATAGCAGTAGAGAACATTAAGTTGATTCAAATACCCTGAACAAACTTTTTTTTTCTCAGCCCTTGCAAGTACAGTTAGACTTTTAGTCTAAAGTCAATAAATGGCTTGATGGAAGTAACTCTAACATTAGGGCAAGTAACTAAAATATTAAATGACTCTTTCAGGCTACTTAATTCTTCATATACAGGAAGGAAATGACAGCAGCTTTATTTTTGCTATGTTCCTGGCCCATAGGGATGACTCTAGATGTTCACAGAATTGAGGAAAAATGAGGATAAAGAAAAGAAATGAGAGCACATAAAATTCAAAAAGCAGGGATTATATCCACTATAGCCCAGAAATGTCAGCAAACATAAGCCCTGACTTTAAGTCCTGAAGCTTTCAGCCAAGAGAAACACAGTGTGTGTGGTTATAATACTTGAACATTCATTGCTTTTTATCTCTTCTAAAAAACAGAGAAGAATGAAGAAGAAGAACAGGAAGCCAAAAGAGAAATAAAACGTAAACTCAGTAGAAAGGTGATGATTTTTTTTTCTATTGTATGTTTGTGTACATAATGGAACATCAGTATTATTTTTTATAAGATTCTGAAATTCAGTGTATATACATTACTGCAGATCTCCACCAGTCAAATTTCAAAGGCAGTACCAGCCAAAGTCGCCTTGGGGGAAACTCCTTTATGCTCCGTTTCCCATACTTTGGAAAAATGTAGGGATGTCTGGCTGAGCTTCCTATTTGTCTGTGTGACAGGCCAGTTACCTCTGTGAGCATGAGCACTTCTATCATATATGTTCAGGGGAAGCCACATATGTAGATCCAGTCTTCCTTAGAACACCACATTTCTCAGCAAGAGAGAGGGCAGAAAAGCAGTGTGGACCTAAGAAATTCCTTCACCATTCTCCTTTCCACAAGTCATTCAGCTTGACTGCTCCCATTGGGATTGCATGTTTCATTCTCCTTAAAAACAAAGCAGTGGATATGCAGTTCTGACTTTTGGAGGCAGTTCTGGGAGAGGATGGGTGAAGTTTTCATAAGTCCTCCTAGTCTATCCTTTTCTTTAAAGTTACATTGGCAGCATTTTGTTTGCTTAGTGTGATTGTCCTTAGTTAATTAAAAGTGTAGGCTGCTTAAGTGACTGAAACAATATAGTTGGGCATCCTAATGATTAAAATAGACTCCTGGTTATTCCCCCCAAATCTGCTTTTTAGTTAGACATACCCCTACAAATCCTGATTGTTTTGTGTATTGTAGTTGAACTCAGCAGACTAATTGTTAATGAAAATGGTCCTGTTGTCTATCGGGGTAAACAGTGTGAGAATTGCAAAGTCACAATTAATATTCCAGGGATAACTGTCAAGATTCTTTGTGACCTGTCTGACAAAGACTATTTTTATAATTGAAAAAATTAGGTTGTGCTGCTTCCCCATTCCTATGCTCCACTCCCAGGTTGGTGCCTTTTTTTAGACACCTGAAAGTGACCTTATTTAGAAACACCATTAAAGTTCTCTTGAGATTATATCATTTCCTCCACTTTTATTTTATTTTGTCTTATAAACTTACTATCTTTTGCCTCCCATTTACAGCTCAGCCTGAGGCCTACAGTGGCTGAACTTCAAGCAAGAAGAATCCTACGCTTTAATGAATATGTGGAGGTAACGGATTCGCCAGATTATGACCGGCGTGCAGACAAGCCTTGGGCCAGGTTAACTCCCGCAGACAAGGCAAGGATCAGATGTAGATTACAAGAAAATTCTTAACACCTTTCATTTTCAGGAGTTTCCTCTGCTTTGACTTCTGTTGATGTTGGCATCATGAATGACACCTGCTGGAGGCAGGGAGATTGTCATGTTGCAGTACTTTTCTTGCCTGCAGCTAAGAGAAGGCCCTCATGTCTTTTTGAGTGTATTTGTCAGCACCACTGTGGCAGTTCAGACCAGTATTTCTTGCATTTTTAAAGCCTTGTGAAGCCATTCGCACACCATTAGGAAAATACAGAGGCAGTACTTGAAATTCAGGCATGGTTTTTGCAGGCAGAAGCCTACATCTATATCACTATAATTTACAACTCATTCAAGTGAAAAAGGTAGGAGCTGTTCCTTCCTCCTAAGAATTCTCAGCCACAACCATCAGTCTTGGGGTTCCCTGTATATGTGTAGTCCTTCTTGGGAAGTTTGCCCCAAACATACTGCAATTAAAATAGTAGTTCCTCTGCCTATGTACAGAGAATGAAACAAAAATGTCTCTGTTATCGCTGCATTTCAGTTGTAGGAGATGCTGAGCACCCTCTAGTCTTCATGTAGTCACTGGGAGGTCAGTGCACCCAGCACCTCAGCCTTTGGTTTAGGTTGATCTTTCCAGAAACCAGTGCCAACTGTGCTGGAACAAGCAGAGAAGTTGCCTATTGAGTTTAAGGGTGGCAGTTTTAAATCTCAGATTGTTTTGTAATGATCAGGTGGCCCAGGTTGGTTCTGATGTCCATGCTTGTTCATCTCAGAAGAAAGATGAAGGACCCAGGTGGTCTGGAAACTATATTGTCTTTTTTATTTTTTCCCAAGGATTTTTTTTTCTCTAGTTCTAATGGAAGCAGAAGACTGTACTGTAACATTATTATGGAGTTGGAGCTCTGATGTCTTTGCTGCTGATACACTGTTCAAAAACAACTCCCTCTTCCCTAGTTATTACAGCAGCCTTGTGCAAGAGTGCTATTGCAGCTAAACAAAACCATACCCTGCTTAAAATGAAGTTTCTGATTTATGAGGCCTCAGTCTGGTGATCCTGTTATTTTATCACGCTGCCTACTGCTGTGCATTGAAAGGAATGCACACTAGATGAGATTTCCTTAGGGATTAATGAAATTATACTGTTTTTATTTAAAATGATGAAAGAAGAAAGGGAGTGAGAAAGAATAAACTAACATTTCATTTAACAGTGAAGGTACCAAGGCATATATGATAGAAACCAAAAGCTATTCTACTATATTACAACTTCTTCAGAAATCACATGAACTACCTGATGAAGTGAATCGATTGTCAGTCTTGCAACATGAGCAACAAGGACTAACATTTACAAAGTTCACTGAATTTCTGCTGTTCTTCAGTATCTGTCAGTTGAAAACACAAGCTTGAAATGTCCAAATATTTCATGTCATTTTATATAAAAGTGAGCAAATGAAATTACTAATTCCCACTTGAAAAATGATATTCATCTTGCATTTCTAAAGTTCTATCTCCAGTCGGGAGACAGAAGGATCCTGCTGTTTGTACAATTGCTAGGCAAGAATTGTGACTCGCTGGCCTCTCTGAGGCTGTGCGTGGAGACAATTCCCTTGCAGATGCAAACTGAACAGGTGACTGTCAAGGTAACAGAATCCCTTTCCCTGTTTCATCTGTAGCAAGTGCCATATTGCAGTGCGGCCCGTAAGTTTTGGGTTTTGTTGTTGTTGTTGTCATCCGTTGTGTATGATCAGAACTGTGTGAGAGCTGTAAACTACGCAGAGGGTGACTGCAGGGGGTCTGCAAAGCTCTTCTCAAGCTCTTTCCTTCCTTAAATATTCATATTCTTTATGGTTGTGTGTGTATCACTCTTGTTTATTAGGCAGCAATACGGAAAGAACTGAATGAATTTAAAAGCACAGAAATGGAAGTACATGAGGAAAGCCGGCAGTTTACCAGGTGGGTGATCCTTTTTTTATTGTTGTTTTGGCATAAGTCAGAGTGTGACAGCTACACTCCGCCTTCCTGTATGTCCTCCGAAGTTGTGTTGTGATTCCTTGAATGGATTCCTACCTTGAATCCCCCGAATCCTTGAATCCTACCACTGATTCTGTCAGGATTCCCAGTATTGCTGGTGTGATCCCTGAAACTGGCTACTTGATATGATAGTGAAGTGAATCACTTGCTAAATGGAAAAAAGATCGTTCTTGAAATCTAAAAAGATAATCTTTTCAATGAACTTGGCATTTCTCCCTGCATTGCTAAATTGCCAATAAATACAAGCAATTATATTAGAGGGTCCTAGAGGAATTTCAATCTGAGTAAAATTGGGCTCCCTTTGTTTCCTCCCCACCCTTTTTTTCACTGACTGTGTTGTGGATAGATGTAAGTAGATGTGCATAGATGTAAGTAAAGAAATACTATAAAAAAATTAAGGGTGTAATTAGATGCAACTGTTTTAAGTCATCCACAATCTTGAAAAAAAATGAGAGATTCTGTTTTGTCATGGTCCTCTCATTAAAAGTTACACAGTTCACCACTGTATTTGGACTGACATAAGAAAAGTCTGATTTTATTTTAAGGGAATAACAGAGAAAACTCTGTAGCCAGAGGATGAGGAAGATTTTAAATTTAAGAGGTAATACAAAATGAAAGGCACTTACATTGGCAGCTGACATTTTGTGACAAAATGAGATAATAAGGAAGCTGCGTCTCAAACAAAAATAGCTTATAACATATAATATTAGGTTAGATTATTACATAATAAACAATATAATAGGCTCTATTATTATAATCAGTTTTACAGTACCTTTAAATCGTTCAAATTTGATATTAAACTTCAGAAAGAAAAGGCACTGTTTTTCGTCATTCATGATTTACAGTAATGACTATTAGTTGAAATGTTCCTAGTAAATGAGATTTATTTGTTCTTTTATTTCATAACAGAATCCAAGAAACTGAGTTTCTAAAAATAAATAAATAAATAAAAGTTTGGGAAAAGGATATTAGTAGATGCTAATAAAATGCTTCTAATGAAAATCCTATATATAGTCAAAAACATTGCTTTTTTACACAAATTAAAAAAAAAAAAGTCTTTTGCAATATACTGTACCCTCACTAAGCAGACCAGCTGCCTGCTTGTGAATACCAGCTTTTGCTTACACCTCCTTTGTTTACCTACCTGAAAAATGGACTCTGTGTTGTACCGTACACGTATGTGTCACTTATTTTCTTTCCTCATCTCTGGAACTATTACGAGAAAATACGTCAATCAAAACCTTACAGAATCCCGAGTCAGGTGCATCATTACCAGTGCTGTTTTAAAGTTGCTGCATTTTTAACTCGGTTATGAATGCACGTACTTTTAAAGACATATAAACAGAGATTTAGAAGGCTGGTGGTAGATGATGACCTGATACTTGTGTTCTCCTTCCTCTTTTGCTTGGATTCACTATAATATGAGTTAGGATTTCAGTGGCTCTAGGTGCTGACCGTATCCTCAAAAAGGTTGGTGACACCCTTTGGAGAAATCTCTCTCTTTCTATTGATCCAATAGAGAGTCTGGAATGATGTGTGTTTATGTGTGTTAAGTTCTTTAAAACTTTTCTACTTTTCTTTTAAATACCTGAAAATAATTTTATGAGCCTCATTTTGCAGAAAGATTGGAAACTAGAAAGCTAAGTTTCATGGCTCAGTGAAGTTTTGCTGATTCCCATGTAGTGGAGTAAACACAATGTAGCTAAATCTGTAAATAAAAAACAGACCAGACTAGAGGGGAACCTCTAGTGCACCAGGCCCACCACAGCTTGGCAGTTAACCTCTTTCCCCCGCCAAAACAGGGTGACCACCACTGTGAGCTCCAGCACCAACCACTCAACCTGCCTGTTGGCTGCTGCTGTTCCTGTGGTGCCCGGGCTGTTTCGGAGAGTGCTGGGTGACCCAAGCAAACTGTGCCAGGGATCTGCTGTGGTACAGGGGGCTGGACAGGCACATTCCTGTGCCTGAGCTGCACCACAGCCCTGGCTGGTTTACGAGTAGTGCGGGACAGGCAGAGAGCGGTACCAGGGCTGACTGCCTTCCCACTTGCACCAAGAAAATCAGGCCACAAAAGTAAACAGCTGTGAGAGCAGATTCAGGGATGGTGTCATTACTATCTGAAATAATATATAACTTCATTTTTAAATGATTTATCATTTCAGGTTTCATCGTCCATAATTTTTGGCTACATCCCATATTTCATGCAACAATTTTCTTTGGGGAAATCATTGCTTCCTGAAGACCAGAGATTGCACTGGAACTTGACTGAATGTGAGTGTGTGTTGGAGCTTACCCTGAGGTTAACAAAGGATGTGGTCCTCATCTTTATCTGTGAACAAAAGATATGACCAGGAGATGAAACCCTATTAACTAAGAAATATCCCAATGCTAGGAAAGCCCATGGTCCTGTGGCTAGCCCACAAAGACAAATCCATGGTCTCTTTCATTGGAGCTGGACAAGTCAGGAAGAGCTGAAGACAATCGTTTGGGAGCCCAAGAGCCTGTTGCCAGGATCTCAGCGGACTTTATAGGATTGTGACTGAGGGTGACTGAGCAGAGGGACAGTGAAGAGGACTGAGAGAGTGTGGGATGAGAGACATCAACTGCCAGTCAGCAGAGAAAAATGGAACGGAGGGAACTGTTACTGATATTCTTGGCCAGTGGGAGGAATTATTTAAAAAAAAATCTGAGAGTATGAGCAGCTGTGCATGTGTGTTTTTAGTGGCTGCTGCCTGTCTTTGCAAGATAGGAAGCCACGAGTCCTCATATCATCAGTACTTTAGTGATGAGCTGTAATTTTCTCTGGTGCCAGTAAACCCCGTTGCCAGAAAGTCCTAGTATAACTCAGATGTCTTTTTTTTTTTTTTTAATTCTGACAAGCATGCTTCAGGAAAATACATTGAACATTCATACAGAGCAAGTAATTTTCTTTTTCTTTTTTTTTGATGTTAGCATACTTTGGCTTCTCAGAAATACACAAATAGGATTTGAAGAATAAAAGACGACACTATGAATGCAGTAGAAGGCTAGAAGGATTCATGTTTAGGAATACTCTTTTCTGTCACTTGCTGTTCTTCTAACCCATGGCAGGCATTAGTGACAACTTTGACACCATTCTAGTTTGAATCCAAACTCAAATTGAAGTCGTGCAGAAATGTCCTTACTAGTTGGTTGGAGCAGTGATTAATAACGTGACTTTTCAAGATTATGAGCTGTATTAGATGAGTCTCTTGGACTGCTTTTAGAGAGAACTCAGAGATGAATCAATGTCTTCAACAAATGGTTTTGTAAAATTAACGGAAAATCTTTAGAGTGTCTGCAGCCTGTTTTTGTTGTGTCTGAAGAATGCTTATTAGAATCATATTTTTTTTATACTATATTGAAATTGTATATGTGAATACAGTACTATTAAAATTAAGTGATATGGAGTGTGAAAGGCAATACATGCTTTTTCTAAGTCGGCCCAAAGGCCTATTAAAAAGCCTGTGGCATTGTTTACACTAAGAAATTCTGTCTTATATTAGCACTTATTTATCCTTTGAATTAATGTACACAACATATTTGGGGACCTGGAAATCACATATGCATACATTTAATGCAGTATTACAATATATATGCTATTTATCCTTTCTAATGTATGTACATATTACAATTTATTTTTGTCTTTTATGTGCCCTGTTTAGTTTTAATTATGTAAGTTTTTTTTCAGGCAATAAAAGTCTGTAGATGTGATTTTTACCTCAGAACTTGCAATAGATTCTTGGTTTTTGTTGTTAAAATTGAATATTGATCTTTCAGATGTGAGTCTAAAGGCAAGAAGGCAATTTAGTGGCTAAAATCAGATTCTTTCACTTTGCTGATATATACAGCAGGTTTGCATAAATTTTGTCAATTATTTTAGTAAAGAGCACTTCAAGTAACAGGAGAGTACTTTCCAAACAACTGTCATTCTGTTTATTTTTAAGTGGGTTGACAAACGCTTTTTTAAGAAGATAGGTTTATATTACTATTACAATCATTTACATTCTAGTAAAAGTTCAATGATGTGAAGACCCAAAAATATCAGCAACCAAATAAAAACCATCTACATGCTTGTAGCAAAGAAAAAGAGCTAGCATCTTCCTTCTTTTAATGGAATCAATAAGAGATATTAAGATTGCATTTGCAGAAAACAATTTAGGTTCTATAATGCCATCATTTTATAAATATAGAAACACCATTTCTCCATCAAGGAAGCAGGGAAAGTGTATACTTTGGCACTAAATGATACAGAAGTGGTTAGGCCATTAAGAGTTGAGATTTGTCAGCAATTCTAGTAAAATGCTAATTTTTATTTTTAGGATTTGAAGAGAAAACTTAACACTAAATAGTTCTCCTGCTTAAACTTTTACTATTTTTGGTTGCCAAATTTAGAAATGTTTGTTCAAAATCCTATAAAGGTCAACTAGGTGGACTCTGAAATATAAAGTGCAGTGTTTCACTTTAAAGGAAACAAATGGAACAAATGATAGAGCTCAGAGTTGCCTCTTTCAAACATCTGAAAGAAGCCAAGATGCTACCTGTGGAAAAGTAGCCATTGCAATGGCAGAAAAATAATAGCTTTGATAAAGAAGTTAGTTGACGTGCCAGTATATGTAAGGGTTACACAAGTGAACTGAACTTGCGAGACTCTTAGAATAAGTTATTGGGTTAACTTTACAAGAAAACTTTCCTTTGTACTGGGCCTGCAACATGAACAGCAGGGAATGTGCCAGCTCCCCATATAGGAATTAAAACACAAAGACAAGAATTCAGCTTGGGACTTGGACTCCCTCAGGCAGCACTTTGCCATAAGAGATGAGGAAGAATCACTTTCACTCTCTCTATGCTTCTGTTTTTTTGGGTGAGATATATATTTTTTTTAAGTATCCACTGCAATGCACTGCCAGAGGCAAGCCAACAGCCGGAACAGGGATACTGAGCTACTCTTTTTTTTTTATGTACAAGACGTAAATAATCAGATGCATTCTGATTATTTATGGTTATAAATACTTAAAATACTCCTAATTCCCATTATGAATTCGTCAGCAATTCAGCAAATTACTTAAATTTGCATAACTGGACAGAAAGTGTTGCCTTTATATTGGGACTAAATAAAAAGATAGTTATTTGCAGAATTAGAACTATAAACTATCCACCATATCCATGCACACACCTAGAATTGTATATACTGTTTTTATATTGTAAATATCAATTGGCAAAAGAACAACAGCTGTACAGTGCTATCCATGCAATAAAAAGGTAATGAGATTTTTGTATGTCACTACATTTAATGAAACAAGTTTTTGTTTACCTTATTGAGCTGCCTGAAATCAGGTTTCTGATGTATTTCTTGGTCTTTTGTATTGATTACTGCAAATATCTTTTAAGTTGCTATTCGTGCCAATTGGAGAGAACATGTTGTATACCCTACCCTCTAGGATACTGCATACCTGTTAGCAGGAAAAATTGAAAGTGCTGGGAAAGTCCTGACTAAGCAATCCTTGAGGGAGAAAAAAAAAAGTTGTAAAATGGAGGAAAAAAATAATACTTTCCATGCAACACCTAATGGTCCATCTGGGAAAAAAAAATCAACATGCTAATCTTTATCAGATTGGACAATTCATTAATTCATTTAAAACTCTCCTAGGCCGTGACATAGCTTACACACATACCTGTGTTCCACAGTGTTACACATGAACTCAGACATCTATACCCACAAAATAAGCATTGCTTGAGGTAGTTTGTAATTACCTGATATATCACACTAACTAGCATTAACATGCACAGCAGCATGCTGCTGATGATGCAAATGAATGGATTCTTAAATACTAATTTATTATTTACAAGACAAATTGAAAGTTTTAGAATGTCTCTCTGACCTTTTATATATATATATATATATATATATATATAATATATATAGACATCTTTATAAATGAAATCAAATACTTCAAAAGAAAAAATAATTACCTGAAATTCCTCAATTTGTGATCACAGAATCACAGAATGATTGAGGTTGGGATCTAGAGATCATCTAGTCCAACCCCCCTGCTCCAGCAGGGACACCCAGAGCACGTGGCACAGGGTGGCATCCAGGTGGGTTTAGAAGATCTCCAGAGAAGGAGACTCCACAACCTCTCTGGGCAGTCTGTGCCAGGGCTCTGTCACCCTCACAGGTGAGAAGTTCTTCCTCATATGGAGATGGAATTGCCTGTGTTTCAACTTCTACATACGTGTGATGTATGTGTAGACTCAGGAAGTACAGTATTTACCCTAAATGCAAGTAATTCAAAATTATGCAGGACCAGGAACAGTCGCTCTTCAAAATCACTGGAAGTGCTCACAGCCATTGGTGGGTCGGCTTGGAGGTGCGCGCTCGGGGTATTAGCGGTTACCTAGACTGGGGTGTGTCTCGTGCTGTGGCCGACACTGCCGCCCTCAGAAGCGGAGCGCGGTGCAGAGCTCCCCCATCTGCCTTGGGGATCTTTCATCAGCACCACAACCTCAGCTGCTGACATGTGAAAACCCTATCAGACAACCACATTTTTTTTTCTTTTTCTTGAAAACTAGTGAAAGCTTTGAAACAAAGTGAGGAAAAGTCATAGGCATTGGACTGTTCCTTCCAGGTGAGATTCTGATTTGTGTTTATTAGTGCTCTGTTTCTTGAGGAGTTACTTCAAATCCAGATCCTCTGACCAGTAATATTACAGCTGTGCCAGAGAACTTGTTTCTGAACAGTTGTTCTTTAACCTGATTATAGATATTGTGTGGGCCACAGATATGTATCATCAGAAAATGGAAGTGGGATACAGCCAAAAGAGATTAAAAACAAGACTATAATCTGGCACCCTGGGAACAACAGGAACCTGAACATCATCTGCAGTCAACACTGGGTCCCATGGCCCACGTCTGTAACTGGGTTAGGGACAAATGCACAGTAACCTGGGTAGGACATGGACTGTACCTGTAGTACAGTCAGATCTGGCTGCATACTGCCGGCATTTCTAGCCCGTGTCTTAAAATATGTGTTAATGCTTTAATGATAAAATAAATACAGATAAACCCTGTATTTGCATTAAATTGCCAGGTGTAGCAGAACTGCATCATTTCATGCTTTCCTATCACCTGTTTTGATTCGTATCTTAAGGAGTTAAGACTTGTGCCACTACTGTA